AAATAAAGAAAATAAATTAAATCGTTTTTTATAAAATCAATTAATTAGAGATGCTTTTGATTATTAAATTTAATCCAGAAAGTTAAAATGGAAAACACAGAATTTGGTAAAAATAAACCAGAATGAGAGATAAAAAATAAAACGTATATTTAATAGGACCATAAAAATTAAACTTTGGTAAACTTTTAATAAATTCCTGTTAAATTGTGTAAGTTTCATGATTTAAAATAACTAGACATGCTTTTTGATGCTTTTTTTGAGAGTCCAGAAAAATTCAAACGGAATCCAAAAAAATGTAAATGGAAAAAAAGGAATTTGGGAAAAAATAAAATGGATTTCATAGGGCCCTATTTATAGGACACTGGGTAGTTATAGGAACTTAGTTAAATGAAGAAGCCAAGAACTAAATGTTCTCCTTGGGCCATTTTCTTGGTTGCTTTCGCACTGCCAGTAAGAACTCTGAAGTAACACAAGCCGGCCAACAACGTCAACAACTGGAGAATGGAGGATGCTGTGATCGGAGCTGTGTTTCTGTTGTGTGTAATGGGAATCGTGATAATGGATATGGAATGACGATGTATAAGTTGTGTGACATAAATGCTGTTAACATTAGCTTTCTGTATATGTTTATGTCTTGTACCACTTTAAAGGTGGGGTATGTATTTTTTCAAAAACGCTTTAGAAAACTGAGTCGGGCCGAGTACCAAAAACAAACTTGTAGCCAATCAGCAGTAAGGGGCGTGTCTACTCATGATGCGCAGGAGAGAGCGCTCAGTGCACAGGACGGACATTAGCCGAGTGACAGAAAGATGTGTCATCCGTGTCATCACCGGACGCGACAGTTGTCCGCAACAGCTAAAGTCAATCTACACTGGATGCAACAAATGTGACTAAGGCTGTCAAAATGGCTGAAAAACTAAATTCGAATTTCGTACTTAAATATTATCAATATTCGAATTATATTCGAATTTAAAAGGCATAATTTCAATTAGGGGGGAAAAAAGCTTTTGGCTTCTCTCCTGAGGCCACAAGGGGGCGCATCGAACAAAATATTATGCACGTTTCTTCAAAGCATAATAAAATAACACGACTATCTTTGAAAAAAGTGAAAAAACCTTATATAATTAATAAAGTTGCTTAATTACAGCATGTACAGCATCTTGCATGCATGTATAGTTTAATACAAAGGACCGAAAACCAATCACAAAGAGTACTTTCTTCATCTAAAAACTTGAGATGCAGTGGGATGGGGAAAAACCGCCATAAAGTCTTGAGACATGTTTTTAAAAAGTTGAACTTACTTTAATTTTACATGGCTTTCTAAACATGCGGCTCTCTTGTGAGACGCGAGTGTAACGGTGATAGATGTCCCTCTAGAAAATGTGATAAATATGCGCTCTGTGTGAACAGCTTGGTTTCGGTTTTGACGTAAACAACATCATATCAGCATTGATTGACATTGATTTCTGCAATATTTTGAATGAACAACGTAGCAGCGCTGCATCTAGTGGGTTCAACTGGATAGGCTAACAAAAGCATTAAAATGCAATGACACTTACATCGTCGTCGCATTTCGTGCACCACTGATAAGGCTGCCTGATGCATAACTAAAATTCGAATGCAATGTTTTTGCATTATAATGTGGATTTTTATTTTAAATTCGATGAATATTCGAAATTCGAATTTTTTTTTGACAGCCCTAAAAGCGACCGTTGAAAATTATTTGAAATTTGTGTCAATACGTCATAAATAGAACGCAGCAGCAGTTTTGCTTTGTTTCACAGAACTAATCGTTGCCTGGGTTGCATACGTATGTGTGGGGCGGAGCTATCAAAATAGGGGTGATACCCTTTTGGGGTAGGGGCGTGTTTGTTTTGGTGATTTGAAATATCAACATTGGCTACCAGAAATCACTTACCCCACCTTTAAAATACTGTTCCATGTTTAATGGGTGCTATTTCGTATGGCATGCATTCGACCAATTAACGTACAACTATGTCAATGGTGCTGGGTAAGACCCTACTGAAGTAGAAGCAAATTTAGTTTCTCCCAAAAAATTTTCCTAGAACTAAATTCATTTCCAGTTCCTGAAACTTCCTTCATTGGTACTAGAAACAATGAAAAGGTTCCTCTGGTACGAAAGCCCCTATGATAGATTCCAACATGCCAATGTTACAATATTTTGAGCCTGAAAATAAAAATGCCACTAAAATCACTTGAGATTTGAAAAAAAAATTAAAAATCATCAACCGTCAACCTCATTAACCAACTAGTTGGTTGGTGGATGTCCTGACCCATCTGTAATAGGCCCTAGTATCCAATTCCGTCATACTAACACCACAAAATTATGATCTCAGGAGGCCAGCGGGTTACTAGGAAATGCCCATGTGTGCCATCTGGCTGGCATGTGATCAAATAGTGCACAGGTGTTCAGGTTTGTGAATGTGACAGTCAAAGCAAGAGAACATGTGTAATCTGAGAGTCCTAAGCACATGGCTAAGACAAACAGGATTAGTATTATTATAAAACAGGGTGACAACTATCCACATTGTACCTGACGGCGATAAAATTAAGTACTGACCAATTTATTTAACCATCCAAGCAATACACACATGACCTTGTAAGCCATATAAACACCTAATCACGTTTAAGACAACTTGGTAGTATTCACACATGATTGGCCAGGAAACCAGAATCTCAGGATTTTTGGAAGACTCCAGAAGGTGAACAAGAAAAAATAAGAGGAGTAGGAAGTGAATTCTGCTCAAGGGCAACAAAACTTGAAACACCAGTTTGTCCTCAGGGCTCCTAAATGCAGCAGTACAAACACACGCATAGACACGCTTTGTTCAGGTCATTCAGAGACGAGCCATTACCACACCACACAAACACACAACACGGCAGAGGAAAAACAGGTCAGCAAACAAATCAAGTATTGAAACAAACAGATGAGGCTGCAGGCTGAAAATCTCCCAGGTGAGGCATCAGGGAGTGGCCTTCTGTCTGTTTATCTCTTCAACAGTACCCTTATAGCAATAAACATCTCTTATGCGCAACTGAAGGAAAAGCTGTAACGTTTTCACACTAGCTGTCAGGACCTCGTAAGACGCCTACTTAGACAGCATTTTTATGTTTCATAGGCCTCTTCAAACATTCAAGATGAACATTCAAATTTAATGGTCTTAAATGATGCCTAAAAGTGTATTGCCTCTAGGTATTGAGTGTCAAATTGAACAGTAAATGATGCTTAAAAACGGCATCTAGGTAGTGAGCTCACTAGGCCTTGACTTCGAAACAGAGCGTTGAATAGATAGACCATCTCAATCATTCCAACAAGTGCAGAATTCCAAACTGAACATTCTAAAATAGAAACGGATATGTAAAATCAAACATATAGAACTAAACATGTAGATTTGAACATTACAACATGTCAATGGTGTTCAAAAATGTTGCCTAGGTAGGGAGGGAGTCATTTCACTAAGTTGCAAATTGAATCAAACAAGTCAAATCAAACATTTCAACATGCCTTTGGTGCTCAAACATCTTTAAGTCTGAAACCAAACATGCTGAATCGAACATGTCAATCATTCCAACATGTCTATTTATGACATGTTATGCCATTTAGGTAGCAAGGGTCAAATCAAACATGCCAAATTCAATGTTCCAACATGTCTATGTTACTAAAAAATGCTGTCTAGATGGTCAGCTCAATAAATTTTGAGTGTCAAATATATTGAATTTCAAATTGAACATTTCAATATCATATCGAATGTGTTGAATCAAATATGTTGAACTGAACAATTCCAACAAGTCAATGTTACAACACTGCAAAAAATGGCTTATCTTACTTAGTATTTTTGTCTTGTCAAAATATCAAAAAATTCTTAAATCAAGATACTTTTACTAGATAAGCAAAAGGACATACAGTATATATTTAGTCTTGATTCCAGGTGGGGAAAAAACTAAATTAAGTGCATTTTGCTTTAAAAAAGTAAAATGATCTGCCAGTGGGGTAAGTAAAATACTCTTGTTTATATTTAGCCCTACAAATAGCCCTTGTTATTCTTAAATTTGACATTTAAATTTTTACACCAGACATATATATCGGTTCAAAATATCGGTTATCGGTCTACTTGAACTGTAATAATCGGTATCGGCCCTGAAAAACACATACTGGTCGACACCTAGTCAAATATTTCAAACTGAACATTCCAAAATTGAGTTAAATGTGTTGAATCAAAGATGTGTAACTGAACGTGCTAATAATGCTCAAGGTGCTGTTTAGGCAATAAAATTACCCCCCAAAAAACTGAACATGTAAATTTAAACATTACAAAATGTCTACGATGTTCAAAAATGTTGTCTACGTAGTCAGCTTACCCAGTTGAATGTTGAATCAAACAAGTCAAACCAAATGTTCCAATGTGTTTATGCTGCTCATGCCATCTAGCTCACCAGGTTTTAAATATTAAATCGAAAATAATGAATCAATCATTTCAAAGAGGACATTCCAAAATGTAACCAAAAATGCTGTACTGAGCACTAAAGTAGCACTAAGTAGTCAGCTCAGTGACTAGTTTTTGAGCGTTTAATCGAACATGCTGAATAAAACATTTCAAATTGAATGCCAATGATGCTCAAAACTGCTGTCTTTGCAGTAAGCTTACTAGAATAAGGTTACTAGGTTTTGAACCTGGATCTGAACATGTCAGCTTGAATGTTACATGTTTATGATTCAGCATCTTGTCTATGATCAAAATTGTTTCCTAGGTAGATAGTCAGCTCACTAAGTTTTGAGGGTCAACAAATCAAATGTTCCAACATGCCTATGATGCTCAAACAATCCAACAATATAGATTTAGAGTCTAAAACCAAATATGTTTAATCAGACATAGCGTCTAGGTAGTGAGCTCACTAAGTTAGGGAAAAAAAGGGAACTTGGAGTATAATGCAACACTGTGAATTCCCAGTTTTAAGTCATGTGTGAGTGAATATTTTACCAGAGAAAGTCCCAAGGAAGCCATAAGTTACGGGCCAGTCAGTTCCTTTTGTGGGCGTCACCAAGCTGTCAGAAGATGGAGTGATCTGTCAAAGAAACCAGAGTGAGCTGTTAGCATTGTTACTACCTGCTGCTATAGAAGCAGCAGCTCACCAAGCTATCATTAATTGTTATATATGTGCGTCAGCGAGCCCTGTTGAGCATCAGAAAGAGAAACACAGCAGAGAGAGAAAATGACATGGCACATGTCAAAATAATGAGCTTGATATTATGAATTACAGCTCACGAGGTGCGATACAACATCCATGTGTGAAATAACAGTAGATGCGGCGCGTGTGTGTGGCACTGCCAAACTGCAGGCATCTACCCACTGTCTCCTCAGACAATAGAGTCGAAGCAAAGCTGATGAGTATAACTGACAGCTGCTGGTCTTGCCTTCGTACCGCTAATACGGCTCGCTCTTCACACACACACAAATACAGAAGGCTTTGGAATGTCTCCTCGTAGTATGGGACATCAAAGGCAGCCTAAGCCTGATTCATAGATCATGAATTTTGGGTTTATCTATCGCACACAGATGTCGCCTGCATAGACACACGCTGTTTTGGAGGGAAAGATAGAAAGCGTGTGCGTTCCTGACCTGTTATACGCACACACACCCACATACTGAAGGGACAGGAGGAGACGCGCTCCAGCACACAAACATTCCCTGCGGCGGCAAACATTATGGCCTGACAGACTCCCGCCCATCAATACTGATCAATTCAGCTCTAGTTCCTCTCTCGACTGTCTGTGTGGAAGTCAAGTGTATGCCAGTGGATATCAGCTGGCAACGGTGTGTAACTCCTCTGGATCGCAGGCTTTGGGCGATACACACCTACGTTTAGTACACACTGGGCTTCTGACACACTCCCGATTCCATCGGTGAGAATTTACAGCCCTGATTGCCACTACAGCAAATCACATTACAGCCCAGCACTGCTTCACCATGACAACACATTACAGCATGCTCCACTTCATCCAATTAGGCCTGCCAAGTCTCAAAATACAGCACACCAAGGCGGTGGGCAGAGAAAGGGTATTTTGAGGTTATGATATGAACACAGACAGTGTTCAGTGAACAGGCCCTGGAGGTGAAATATGCATGCTTGTTTATGGCATGTATGGATGTGCAAAACTATGTTTTCAAAAACAATTAGTTGGTGGCTTCCCTGAATTAATGGTCAACTAACTGGACTTAAAGTCCTGTATAATTAGGCTGGGTTTAGGTTCATCTGACCCTGATCGGACATGTTTGAATGCCTTTACATATTCTGGTGTTGGAGTGTGACACAATGCAGTGGCACTAAAATATAAAAATCTAAAAGCAAATAAATGTGTAGATGTAAACTATATAAATCAAAATAAAAATCTAGATATACATTTATATATCCACATCTCAAAATGGCAGATATTTGGCATCGGTCGAGTATATAGATTTCAGTATATACACTGAACAAAATTATAAATGCAACACTTTTGTTTTTGCCCCCATTTTTCATGAGCTGAACTCAAAGATCTAAGACTTTTTCTATGTACGCAAAAGGCCTATTTCTCTCAAATATTCACAAATTTGTCTAAATCTGTGTTAGTGAGCACTTCTCCTTTGCCGAGATAATCCATCCACCTCACAGGTGTGTCATATCAAGATGCTCATTAGACAGCATGATTATTGCACAGGTGTGCCTTAGGCTGGCCACAATAAAAGGCCACTCTAAAATGTGCAGTTTTACTGTATTGGGGGGTCCGGGGGGTTCGTAAACCAGTCAGTATCTGGTGTGACCACCATTTGCCTCACGCAGTGCAACACATCTCCTTTGCATAGAGTTGATCAGGTTGTTAATTGTGGCCTGTGGAATGTTGGTCCACTCCTCTTCAATGGCTGTGCGAAGTTGCTGGATATTGGCAGGAACTGGAACACGCTGTCGTATACGCCGATCCAGAGCATCCCAAACATGCTCAATGGGTGACATGTCCGGTGAGTATGCTGGCCATACAAGAACTGGGATGTTTTCAGCTTCCAGGAATTGTGTACAGATCCTTGCAATTATCATGCTGCAACATGAGGTGATGGTCGTGGATGAATGGCACAACAATGGGCCTCAGGATCTCGTCACGGTATCTCTGTGCATTCAAAATGCCATCAATAAAATGCACCTGTGTTCGTTGTCCATAACATACGCCTGCTCATACCATAACCCCCCCGCCACCATGGGCCACTTGATCCACAACGTTGACATCAGCAAACCGCTCACCCACACGA